GAGGTTTTTCGGGGACGTTTCTTTTCTTTTGCTTAACTCAGAGACAGAAGGGAGAAAGAGCAAAGGAAAACACCAAGACACTGAGGGGCGGGCTGCCTTCCGACGGCGACCGGGCCTGAGCGGCTCTGTCCACCGAGCCCGGCCGGCCCCGCTCCCGCCGCGGCGCCCTCAAATGTCCACGTCACGCACGTCGGTGGGCGTGCAGGCCAGGTCCGCCTCCTCCTCCTCCTCCCCCTCCTCCGCGGCGCACGTGGGGCGGAGTTCTAGAACGTCGTGTAACCAATGCCGGTGACGTCACGCACCCCGGTGCGGCCCCCGCCTGCCCGCGCGCGCACACTCTGCCCCCCGCTGCCCGACCCACTGGGGCGGTGCGCGAACCCCGCGGCCCGAGGAGCCCCGCCTCCGGGCGGGCCGAGCCAAGGGGAGCGCACCCCGACTTCCCTGGATCACATGGGCTGCGGGGGGCGGGTGGATCGGGGGAGGGGGAGGCGCGGGGAGCTCGCCGCGGCTCCACACTGGGGCAGGGGAGAAGATGCCCCCCACCTCTCTAGTTCGGCCTCTCCATTCAAGTTCCCCGGACCCGGCCGCCTGGATCCGGGATGGCAACAGCCGCCTGCCCGGCTCTGCGCCCTTTTTCCAGCCACCGCGCAGAAATTTAGGTCAAGGACGTCGGGATCAAATCCAAACCCTGGCGCTCCTCGGGCAGCCGCCGAGACCCCCCAGGATCGCGGGGCTTCAGGATTGCGGAGACTCTCCCGCACAAACACCAGCCACAAGTTTTATTTTCCTTTCGCGCTGTAAGTTCTCTCTGGCTCTCGCTCCACACCGGCACGTCTTGCGCGGCTCCCCGCCCTTACCCGGCAGAGGTACGAATCCTTGCCCGGGAAAGGTTATTTTGGAACTTTGAGGAAACTGTCGCGATTCCAGTGGTGAGAAAATGCCGAAGAAAGGGTTTCCGCGTTAATCATAAGGCGCTTAAAAATTATAATAACAGAGGGTTATAGAGGTCAAGGTCAAATGATCGGAGTTCAAATCAAAATTTTTTATATAGTGAGAAATAATTTGGGAGCATCTCTGGGAGGGCCGGGAAGGATGGTTATTTCAGGAAACCCCTCTCCAACCCGTTTGTTATATATATGTTATTGTTTCTATGCCGAGGTAGTAAAATGCATGAGATGTGAATAGCCCAAGCCCCCCACCATCTGGGGATGTAGCTGAGCGTGGCAGAAGGCTTCAAACACACAACCCCGCCACCTTGGGAGCAGTGTGGTGCGGCACAGGTCCTGGCACACCGTAGGTGCTTAATAAATGCTGACTTGTATCCTTTTCCCGCGCTGAAAATTCCTAAAAGACAATTTTGTAGCTACCCAAAAACATCGCCCACTTCTCCAGCAGATTTCAGGCCGGCTAAATTCAGGCTGGATTCGATCTGTGGGGTATTTAAAACAATAAGGATATAATTATCCTTATTGTTTTTAATTATTACAATAAATTGAGTTAATATGGCTTAAGGGGGCAACATCATTGAGTATTTGTGGTTCATCAAATACTCAAATTAATGTTAAGCATGAATTGATGCCCAATTAACACTTTTCCACTAATTTTCGTAGGATTAGGATACAGTGGAATACCCTCAACACCAAAACTGTACCAAATCCACGGTGGGTCTTTGAAAAATGGACTATTTGGAAAATACCAACATCAACCAAACCCCTGAGTGACCAGGCTCTTAATCTCCCTGTCTCCTAAATTGGGATAATTCTTCCTTGACAGCACTGATAGGGTGAGGGGAGGGTCTGAAATCAACACATGTAAAAGTCCCTTTTTCATTGGAAGCCTATATGGGTTGTGCTTGTTATCATATGATTTTTAGAAGGCACTTTAAAACTTTAAACCAGAAGCCCAAGCGTTTTCCAGTTCACTCCAGGCTGCTTCCCAAATCATCTGGGGTCCCATGTGTTGAAGAGCCAGTTGTTATTATGGTAATTGCTTATTATGACTATTCTCAATAACAAAATGCAGACAACAGAGCTAATGGGATTTTGTGGGGGATTTTTACACTAGAACCACAGATCATCAGAGGTGGAAAGGCCTTTCCTGATCCACCCTCCCTTATTTTACATCAGGGGCCCAGAGGAACCAAGTTTACCAGGCTACACCCTACCCACCACCTGTCAGTTCCTTAGAGGAGCTCTGGCCATCAGTCCCATGCCCTTTGGCTCTGCTGCATGCATATTTATTCTGCCCTTAACAAGGTGAGAGTGGGGTGCCCTTGTTCCCTGCTGTAGACCTACACAAGCTGAACTGAATGAAATTGCAGGAGCTAGCCCTGCAGTTATAAAGGGGAAGTTAGATCTTAAATCACCAATACTACATTGTTTGTATTTATTTATTTTTAACTTATATGCAGTCACATTTACTCTTCTTGGTCTATAAGTCTGAGTTTTGACAAATGCATGGAGTCTAGTAACCATCACCATAAAGAGGTTACAGGAAGAGTCTCATTGTCCAAAATATTCACTCTTGCTGCTCTTAGTTTATTATCATTATGCATTTCTCCTCCAGCTCACTCACTTAATGTAGCCCCTGGGTCAGGAGAATTCCAGGAGCACATCAGTCCTCCACCCTCTTAAAGTTTCAACAGCCCATGACACTGTTGGACACTGCATTCTTTGTAACTCACTCTTCCCTTGGCATCCTTGATGCCCACATTCTCCTGCCTTTCCTCGTACGTCTCCTGCCTTTCCTCCTCTCTTTGCCCTGACTCCTCCACCTCTGCCTTTCCTTTAAATAGTGGTGTTCATTCTCTCCCCTAACTACACACCCTCTCTGGATGAGATCCCCTGAAGGAGGGGTTAATTACCATCTACGTTCTGATGCCACTCAAATTAAAATCTCCAGCCTTCTCTCCCCACAGAACTCCAGGCTCTGGTTAATTTCCTATTCATCATTTCCACTTAGCCTTCCTTAAGTTACCCGAAACTCCACATTTCCAAAACCACATGCATGCTCGTTTCCCCTAAACCTGAACCTCTTTTAAAGTTTTCTCCATGAACAGAGCCCCAGCCATCTTAGAGACAAGGTTGACCCCTCTCCAGGTTGACACCTTCCCATGTGCAATCCATCATGAAGCTCTGTTGGTTTTACTTCCTCAGTGTCTCTCAAATTCACCTTTCCTGCTACTGCATCTCAGATCTCCCACTGGAGCCCGTGCAGTAACCTCCTAAACGCTCTTCTCACACTCATTCTTACTCCACTAATATGCCTGGAAAGCATTCCCTGACCTCTCTGACCAGGTTGAATCCCCCTCGGTATGCACTGTTATCCTGCCAGAATGCCCTCTGTGTACCCTACCCTGCGTGATCATTTGCTTTATTGCTTATCTCTTCCACTAAGCCATAAGGTCCTGTCCATTTCTGCTCTCCAAGTATTAGCACAGTGCCTATTGGTGCATGGTTAACACTAAGCAAATATTTGTTGAACGAATGAAAGGAATGAATGAATGAAGGTCAACATCTAACTTCACTGTAGGCATTTTTGTATCCATGTCCATAAGTCAAATAGGCTGCAGTTTCCCCTTCTCATACTGCCCTTCTCTGGCTACACTGGCCTCAAAAAATGAACTGGTTCCTTCTTTTTCCATTTTCTCGAACAGTGTGTATAAAATTGGAATTATGTGTTCCTTGACTGTGTGGCAGAACTTGCCAGTAAAATGCCTGGCTCTGGGATAAACATTTCCTAGGTTGATTTTTAACTACTGATTCCATTTCTTTGATGGCTATGGATGTCTTTAGGTTTTATATTCTTCCTGACTCAATTTTTGCTCATTATATTTTTCAGGGAAATTGTCCATACCAGCTAGGTTTTCAAATTTATTAACAAAATGCTGTTCATAGTTTTCTCTTAATATATTCTAATCTCTGTTGCATCTATCCATACCCTTCATTTTTTTTCATTCCAAATATTATTGTATATGTATCTTCTCTTTTCTGGATCAGTTGTGTCAGAGATCTCCCTATTTTTATCTAGTGTTTCTTTCTACTTTCTACTAGTGTTTTCAAAGAATCAACTTTCAATTTGGTTAATACTATCTTTTGTTTCATTAATTTTCACTTTTATATACTATTATATATTTTATGTTCTTATGTATAAGAATATATACCATATATAAAATATAATCTAATCAGTGGTCCCCAACCTTTTTCTTTCCACGGTAGGGGGTGTGGGGAGGGATACGGTTCAGGGGCTAATGCAGTAATGGGAGCGCAGTTGAAGCTTTGCTAGCTCACCCGCCGCTCACCTCCTGCTGTGCAGCCGGGTTCCTGACAGGCTTTGGACCACTAGCGGTCCGCGGCCCAGGGGCTGGGGACTCCTGATCTAATTGTGTACTGTTAATATATCATGTTATTTTCTTTGTTCTGTTCTCTGGGTTTATTTTGTTGGCTTAAAAAGATTCTTGATGGCTTAAGTAATTAATTTTCACACTTTGGTTTTCTTTTTTTTTTAACATTTAAGGCTATAGATTTCACTCCAAGTGCCACTGAAACTACATTCCACAAAATATGTAGAATTTTTATTACCATCCCAGGCAAAGAATGTTTAGATTTCCAGTATGATTTCTTCTTTGCCTCAATACATGTGTATTTTTACATTTCTAAACACAAGTTTTTGTTTTGGTTTTTAGTTATTCATGTCTAACTTAATTAAGG